AGGTAAAGGCTGCCCCAATAAATGATTTACCAGATCTAATAAAACATCAAGGAAATTGTTCAGATTGTATCTCAGACCACTTAAAACACAGGTTTATAGAGGTCTCAGCAGCCCCCATATCCTCAACCCTGGTTTAAAAAGAAACGTTTAGAGTGGTTAATTATCCCATGTTACTTTTTGTTTTTAATGATAGCAATTTCAAGAGAAGGGAGAGACTGGGAGTAAACAAACAGGTAGGACAACCAAGGAGGTTGGGAGAGAGACAAGCTGAGTGACCACTCACTTATCCTTTTATTCATTCACCCAATAAATATTTACTGGTTGACTATTATAAACTAGGTATTTTAGAACTAGGGCCGGAGACCCAGGAGTGACCAGACAAGAAGGGTTTCTGCCTGCCTACAGCTTCTTTTTAGTGAGAGGAAGCAGAAACATGCAAATAAGTGGAATAAATATAAATATAAAAGATGAACTTATATTGTGGTAAGTACTTTAAAGGAGACAAACAAGGTGATGAGAAAGTAAATAACCAGAGAGGGGCAGGTACTACTTTATATAGGATTGTCAGGAAAGGCTTCTCTAGGAGGGAAAATCTAAGCTGAGACCTGCAGTATGCACTGCCTTCCATCCTACTAAGAACTGAGAGAACATTCCAGATGAAGGAGGCATCGAGTACAAAGGTTCTGATGTGTTAAAGACCGTGGTGTGTTTGAAGAACAGAAAGGAAAGCAGATGTGTCATCCTCAGGTGACAAATGCCCTCCATTTTAACCTTTGGAAAAGACATTTTCTTCAAAATTTATTATTATTAATGTTAATATTAGTTGCCTTTATTAAAAAACTAAATGTTCCAGTGACTATACAGGGTGTCTTATATATATTATCTCTCAGTTTTCACAATAAAGTCCCACCATATAGCTATTATTATTCCAATTTGATACAGGAGAAAACAGCCTCAGAGAGTTTAACTGATTCAATGTTACATGGCAGCAGCAAAAAGGGAATTCATGCCCAGGTCTACCCACAAAACCTACACTCTTTCATTGCTTTTTATTTGCTTGTGCACACAGAAATGAATGAAGCAGAATGTGATAGGCTGTTTCCAAACATGGCCACGCACTATCTCCCAACCTAGCTTGTTCTTTTGCAATGTCACTTTCCCAATTTTGCATCAGGAGATGTAGTCTATTCTGCCCGTCTGGCCCTGTGATGTATTGTTTTTTTTGTTTTGTTTTGTTTTGTTTTTTGCGGTACGCGGGCCTCTTACCACTGTGGCCTCTCCTGTTGCGGAGCACAGGCTCCGGACGCGCAGGCTCAGTGGCCATGGCTCACGGGCCCAGCCGCTCTGCGGCATGTGGGATCTTCCCGGACCGGGGCATGTGTCCCCTGCATCAGCAGGCAGACTCTCAACCACTGCGCCACCAGGAAAGCCCCTGTGATGTGTTTTGACCAACAGAATACAGTGGGAGTCACTGTGTAACTTTGAAGGCTTGACCTTAAGAGATCTGCAGTTCCCACCTCCTCTGCTTGGAAAGATGCTACTTGGAACCCTAATAAGCTGAGAGGAAGCCCAAGCATCAAGGGAGAGAAGTGGAAAAATGAGAAGCTCAGCTGAGAGCAGGAAGTGAGGTTTCAGACGTACAGCCTCAATTAAGGAATCCAAGCCAGACGCCAGGTATTGGAGCTGCCTCAGCTAAAGCCTCAGACACGGAACAGAGACGAGCTTCCTGGGCTGTGTCCTGCCTAATCACAAGAGAACAATAGAGAAACACTGAGGTCAGGATAGAGGAAGGGTGAACAAACTTTTTTGGTAAAGAGCTAGGAAGTAAATATTCTAAACTTTGTGGATTGTACTGTCCTTGCCCCAACTATTCAATTCTGCCATTATAGAGAAAAACGAAGATAATATGTAACCATAGGGGTGTGTCTGAGTTCCAATTAAACTTTATTTACAAAAACAGATAGAGGGCAGAATCTGTCTTGGTGGTTATACTTGCCAGTCCCTCGTCAAGACTTAGACAATGAGTTTACCTACTAAAGGAGCAACGCCTGAGAGTTGCTTCTTAAAAGATCTATTGGAGGGGCTTCCCTGGTGGCGCAGTGGTTGAGAGTCCGCCTGCCGATGCAGGGGACACGGGTTTGTGCCCCGGTCCGGGAAGATCCCACATGCCGCGGAGCGGCTGGGCCCGA